CACCGCGGGAGCGGGGCCAGCTGAGCCGTGGCGCATCCAGGAGCTCCAGCCCCGGGGCCGGCGGCGGCCACAGCACCAGTACCAGCACCAGTCCGGCCACAACCCTGCAGAGAAAGTAAGAAACGCGTGTTTGTCTCTCCCAGCCCTTCCCTGCTAGTTCCTTCTCCAACTTGTATGGCTGGTAAAGTAAGAAGCCGGTGCCTGATTCCATGTCCTCCTCTCCCATCCCAACCTGTCAGGAGAAGCCGAGTCCCCCTCATGCAGCCGACACCCCTTCTCTAGCTACCCCAGAGTGGGTTGGCCGGAGGAGTGCAGGCGTGCAGGCGTCTCTTCTTTCTCAAAACCGTAGCCAGTGAGGGCCTGGAACAGTCATCACCCCCTCCACTCTTTACCCCCTCGCTGTATCTTTGCCAGAGGATGACTTCTCATTTATTTATTTATTTTGGATGTGTTGGTTGGGATTTTTATTGTCTGCGGTGGTGTCAGCTTAGAGCCCCAAGGGAAAGAAAGCCCCCCTCCTTCCTACACCCCCCCCCCCGCCGCCGCCACCGGTCTCCTCTGCAGGTCCTGAGTGCAGGCCTGATCTTATCTCCTCTGGCGGCCTCAGTTCCATCCTTTCCCAGAGAGGCAGGTGGGAACCAGAATGGCTGCTGGAGGCTGAGACATCCCTCTGAGGGGAACTGCAGCACATCCTGGCCAGGGGAGCAAAGATGGAGGCCTGGCCCTTGGCTAGTTCCTCAAAGACCACCCCCTCTCCACCCTCCAGAAAAACACCACCCAATTAAAGAGCGTACCAGGAAGGGAAGTCTACAGATCTTCCCTCTTGTTGGATCAGTGCCAGTTTCTGTGCTGGGGTCTGTGTGTCTGCCTATTTGGGACAGCTTGGCAATCTCTCTTGGGTTGGTGGGGCATGGGCTGGGTCCACTTTTTCTGTGCAGATACCATGGTGAGCTGGTCAGGATAAATGTCAGGCTGAAAGAGTCAAGGGCACGCAGGCTCACAGGGCTGCCCTAAAGGCTCCCGGATTTCTTTTCTGCTGTATTGGAAAGAATACTGAAGTGGGAGTTAGGAAACCCAGGTTCCCCTTCCAGCTCTGCTGCAAATTGGCTTTGTGACCTTGACTGAATCCCTTCCTCTCTCAGACCATCAGTTTCCCCGTATCTTTTTAAAAGGCAAGGTCTGCCTTGACTGCTCTTGGAAGGCCCCTCCAGCTTAGATTTGATGGTTCTGTGATTGATCCAGCCACACTACAGAGCAAGTCTGAAGTCCTCTAGCGAATGGACAGCTTTCCCCCTCCTCTCACTGCTCAGCTGGTCCTACCATGTGCCACAACCAGTGGAGTGTCTCTTGGAGGCTGGGCTGGGGGTGGGGAAGCCTTCTGCCTCAGGAAATCTGCCGGGAGACAGCTCTCTGCAACTCCCCCGTGGTGAGGCAGCAGGCTGGGGTGCTGGGTTGAGATGGCTGGGCCCCAGGAGCAGCAGCTGCAGCTCAAGGGCTCGGCTGGGCTCCACTGCAGTGCACCCTCAGCTGAGGTTTGGTATGGGCTGCCCCAGAGGGAGCTGGGCTCTTCTGCCCAGGTGGGGCTGCTGGGAGCACATTCCTGGAGGACTGACTGTGCAGCTTGGGGTCCCCCGCTGGAGGGAGGGTCCAGATCACCCAAGAAAGGCCCTCTCAGGAGAGGGCCAGGGTTGGGTGGGGGGCAGAGGGAGACTGGGATGGGCATGGTGGTCCTGGAACCTGGCTGCCAAAGACTTTTCTACAGTGGTCAAGCCAGTGACAGAGGAAGCAGCCTCATTATATGTGGCTCCAGGGAGCAGAACCAGGAGCAATGGGGAAAATTTGGGATAAATTAGGAAGAAATTTCCAACCTGGCTGTCTGGTGATGGATGCAGTGAGCTGCCTCAAGGGGGTTAGGGAGGGCTGGAGAAAGCATGATAGTTCCTGAATTAGCATAAAGCCTAATGAAATGGCCCAGGTCTCCCCTGAGTTCAGGATTTCATTCCCCTCAGATTCTCCATCCTACAGACGTGGATCTGAATCTCTTGGCTGCCTAGAGATTGGCTGCTCTTGAGCTCTGTGCTTCTGCCATCCAGGCAGGCCTGCCTCTCAATCCTTCCTGCTTTTTGTACAACCTCCAGGCTGTTTATTGGATTTTCTTGCTTCCCAGTTCCTACTGGATTTATAAGGGGATTTAGATAGTCCTTGGAGTTTCTCCTGGCCATATATTAAATATTTGCACATCCATTATTACTTCTTTTGGTCCTCACATCAGGCCCTGTGCAGTGAGCACCAGCAACTCCATTTTAGAGATGGGGAAACTGAGGCTCCAAAAAAAAGGAATGGACCTTGCTCAAGGTTATCCTGCCAGTTCGTAATGGAGCTGGGACTAGGACCCAAGTCCACCTGTCTTCCAGGCCTGTTATTTCTCCACTCAAGCTTTCCAGCCCCCAGGGAGTCTCTCAGCCTCAGGACCTGGCCAGGTCACAAACTGGGAGAGGCCAGGATCACCTTTGGTATCTAGAGGATTTGAGCAGGAGAAGAGGGCTTAGGAGGGAGGGAGTGATGAGACGGGGAGCTGACGGTGGGGAGGGCAGAAGGCCTTGTCTCCCTCCTTTCCACTCTCCTCTCCCTCTCTCTCGGCCAGGCATCAGGAGGGCCTGTTGATGCAATAGCCATTGTTGTCACCACAGCTGCTCCAAGCGACTCCCCTGCCAGGCCTGTTCTGGGCTGTAAGGAGTGGGTGAGGAGGCTGCCTCTGGAAGCCAGGGCAGGCAGGGTGGGAGTTGAGCAGCAGAGGCTGCAGCATTATTGGGGGAGGATAGGAAGAGCTGGTAGAGGCTGGGCGCTCCTGGTCCCCAGGCTCCCTCTGCTGGAGGAAGAGGGGAGAGAGGGGCCGGGGCCCAGCTACTGCTTGTTGAGGGGCCCCTTTGCCCAAGGACTGATTCAGTCCTCCTGGCGACCCTGTGCGTCACCACAATCCCCATTTTACAGCCAAAGAAACCGAGGGCTCGGAGGAGTGAGGCAACACACCAGAGGTCACGCTACCCGTGAGACAGACTCCCAAGCCTGTGAACTTTCCCTCTACCGCAGTTGATAGCAGCTGTCATGTCCACCCCCAGCCCTGTCATCCCCCCAGGATTCCCACATCCTCCCGCACTGTCTCTTCTGGACAGGTTCCCGGATGCCAGTATGCCTTCTGCTGTGCTCTGGGTGTGGTCTTTCTAGTGCAGCATAGAGCGCGATGGGCCGACCTCCTTCTGGCCGCTGGGCCTCTGTATGTGAGGTCTTTGCTTGCTTGCTTGCTTGTTAGCAGCGGCTGTGCTCAGGTCTTTTTCCCTGGAATTGTCGCCTCCCTCCCCAACCCGCTCCCTCCAGATGATTAGAGAAGAGCTCGGTTTTTCGTTGTTGATCTTGGCCTGGCCCCCCTTGCAGTTCTGGCGCCTGGAATGATTTACAGGCATGCTGGGGGCCACTGCTGAGTCGCTCCACGCTGAAGAGAGCTGCATTTCCCACGCTTTCTGCCTGGGCCCAGCTCCGGCTCTGCCGTAGGCGGTGGTGGGCTGAAGCTGGTTTGGTGGTAACTCTCCATCCTCTGCCCCCACTGCCCCCCCCCCGGCCCACCCAGCAAGCTGGCTGACACTGGGGGACAGCAACCAGAGGGGCCAGCTGGGTGTTCTCAACAAACAGAGCAATGCGTGGTCTCCAGCAGGGCTGCTGGGCTAGCTCCTCTGATATGCGATGTGGTGTGCGGTGGGGTTGTTAGTGGGCTCCGCAGCGACTGAGGGCACTGGGGGGAAGGGAGGAGGGGGAGGGAGCCCAGGTAGGGGCGCTGGGGAAGTCTGTCCCCTTTAGGGTCTTGAGCACTTTTCTGGGGTGGCAGCGGGGAGGGTTCTCCTTCTTCCCAGGAGGGAATACCATTTCTGTTCCCCCCAAGTGTGTCGGGAGCATTATACTCGTGTGGGAGGCAATGATCGAATTGAATGAGAATTAGAGGAGTCTTGCTTCTCTGTCTAGATCTGGGGCGAGAATGGGGCTGTTGTCATCCACAAACATTTCTTGGCTGCGTGCACAGAGCAGGAGGGGCCACCAGTCTGAGCCAACACCACGCTCTCTCTCTGCGCTTGAGAGCCCCCCACCTCCTCCCCTGGCCAGAGCCCCAGCGGGCCAGGCCTGAGCCAGTGAGGGGGGGGCGGTTCTCAGCGTGGACCAGGCCACTGGTTGAGGATCTGGATGGGGGTTTAAAGGGAGTGGATATCTCCTGGTGTCCGATGGAGAGGGAGGTAGGCAGAAGACTGCACCCAGGATTGCTGTCTGCTACTCTTTCATCTGTCCTGCCTCTGCCTTCTGTGGCCTCTGAATTTGCTAGGAGAATCGGAAAGGCCTGGAGCGCGAAGGAGTGGCCACACACGTGCTGAGCCTCAGCCTTCTGTGTGCCAGGCACCATCCTATGTGGCTTTATGTAACAATCGCCAACATTTTTTTTATTGCATTTACTGTGTGCCAAGCACAATTAGTTCTAAGTGCTTTCCATGGATTAATTCATTCACTCTCCACATGAATCCTGTGATACAGATATTAAGTCCATTTTACAGATGAGGAAGCTGAGGCCCAGAAAGGTTGGAGAACTTACCCAAGGTCACTCAGTGAATAAGTAGCATAACTGAGAAGGAACAGGAAGGAGCCCGGGTGGCCAGGCTCCAGAGTCCGTCCGCAGCTTTCTCACCCACGACCCGGTACTGCCTCTTATTTGTACAAGAGTCCTTGCCAGGTGGGTGTCCATATTATCCTCATTTTTTGGACAAGGAAATAAGGATCAGAAAGGTGTGGTGACCTGGTTGTGGTTACACAGCTGCATGGGGCTCAGAACTATCTGGCTCCTGAGCCTATGGTCCACCATTGCAGGCAGGTGGGGTGAGAAGATAAAGATACTCTGGGTGTGGCTCCGGGCTTCCCCCAGCAGAGCTCCTGGGACCACTGCTCAGTCAGGCTCCCTCTCCTGATCGCCTCCTGGATTTTGACCATAGTCCCCTAATTGATGCTCTCCTGCTCTGGTTCCTCCAGTCCCCTGATGAGGCGCAGTCAGGCCAAGCTTTCTGTGGGGCTCCAGTGGCTTCCCTCTGTCTCGGCCTGCAAGAGAAGGCTCAGGCTACTCTGCTGGCCACACATGGGCCTCTTGGAATGTCACCTTTCTCCTCTCATCTTGATCCAGTCTCCCTCACACAGTCCGAGTTCCTGCCAGATCAGCCTGTGTGCCCCGTTGTCAGCCCACTCAGCCTCCTGAGAGCCTCTGGGTCTTTGCTCATGCTGTGCCCTTCTCCTGGGCTGCTCCATCCAGTGCCCAGGCTGAGCTCCACTGTGGTCACCTCTCTTGTGTTTGTGTGCTGGTCTATCCCTGACCCTTGAAATGAGCACTTTGGCCCTTTTTATACCTTTGTTTGTTTACATCTCATGTCCTCTCTCATAGGTTGAGGGCTCCTTCGAATTGAGAGTTCATGGGCATATATCAAGTGCATGTGGTGTCAGTCCCTGTGCTAGGGGCCATGGGCATGAGTGAAGGAAGGAGCTCGAAGCTTGGAAACACACAGCACAGCACATAGTAGCTGCTCAATAAATATCGAGTAGTCAGATTAAGTCCTGGTGCACTAAGGGCCCGGGGTGCCTAAGGTCTTCTTCCTTCCAGGATGCCTGTGGCGAGAGATGACCCAACTCCAGAATTCTCTTGGCTTCTATATGGCTTTTTCCTCATGCTCCCTGGAGCTGTTTGGCTTCTGCTCTCTATGTTCCTCCCACTCACAAGGCTCCCAGTTTATAGGGATGTCAGGGTAGCAGAGTCAGACAAGACTTTAGAGACATTTAGTTCAAGCTGATCCTCGTTAACCTGTCCCTCTTGTGCCAGGGCCATGTCATACCATGGTCTTCCCCCTCAATGCAAGAGCTTCTGTTCTGAACCTGTGTTCTATCTGTGCCATCCAGTGGGAAGTTACTTATTTACCCGTCAAATCTTGATTGGGTTCTGATCCTGGGCTGGGCACGGTGTCTCGGAATCAGGTAAGTCGTTTAGGGCAAGACCGTTTGCTAGTTATTCTCACTTCCTTGTGATGTTGGGTCTCTCTCCAAGCATCCACGTTGAAAGCACTGACACAAGGACGCCTGTTCTCCAGTACTTAGGTGCTGAAGCTCTCTGGGCCCTTCGCATTTGGAGAGAGCGTGGTGCCTAGAATGAGGATATGGTGTAACGCTAGGCAAGTCACTTAACTTTCAGAGCTTCACTTGTCTCAAGTAGTAAAGAGGGACAGAACTGTTTTTTCTGATATGTACGGTTCCTATTGGCCATCCCCCCCTCCCAAAAAAATGTACCAGAAAGTTTCCTGGCTGCCTAGCACACCCATCAAGGTCCTGATAAGCGTGGAAAGCTAAGGGATTAAGGATGGAAAATAATATGTGAGTCTGCCCTGCCCTCTAGAGGTGGAGCGTAGCAAACAAAACAACCCAGCCAAGATCGTCGCATCGCATTTCAAAACAAAGATGACAAGCCAGGGCAACATGACAGATCAGGTTGATTCCTCTAATGTTTTAGAAGGAAATTGATCATAGTTGTCACCTGATATGTACCACTTCACTAATATCAAACGCGTTTCTTTGTAGCTACGGATTTTTATACCTTTTTAAATTCTTGGAAAAATAAGATTGCATATCAGGGCCTTGTGATTCCTGCTGGATTCCAGGATGCAGTATACTGCATTCACCTGAATAAAACCAGTATTTTCCTCTATAGAACCGCTTTAGAATTATTCTCATTATATCTGTGATTAAAAGGTATCTAATTTCTTTCTTCCCCAAATTTCATTATACAACTGGGAGGCATCTCACACAATGTCCACCTGATATGCTAGACAATTCATAAATAACTCGTCTTATGAGAACTAAATAAGAAGACAAAAACTTGTATGATATTGTACATCAATTATACTTCAATAAAAATAAATAGAACATTGGAAAAATGACATATATGAAGTGTTCAACAGAGAATGTATGTTTACTCAGGGATAGGTATTTTTATTATTGATAACTTTGCAAAATTCTGTGCCATTGAAGGGTAGGAGGGAGAGGCCATATGGGAGTTCTCCACATACTGAGACAGAGAGATCACTACAGTGAATATTGTGCACATGCATGAGGCAAGGATTCTGTGCTTAATATTAAACACTTCCTAGCTTCAGGGTGCTCACAGTCAGATGCAGAAGGCAAATGTAATGTGGTGTCCTGTGTGCTATGCTAAATGGGAGCATGGGGGGCCGTGGGTGGCCAAAGGAGGCACGGCTACCCAGATTGTTAGGGAAGGCTTCCTGAAGGAGGTGATGCCTGAGGCTTGGAGGATGCATAGGAGTTAGCTAGGTGACAAAGGATGGCGTGTGGATTGGTGGAAATTGGGAGCAAAAGGGAGGTGAAGACAGAGGAGACTGCATGAGCAAGTGTACAGAGGCATGGAGCCAGCAGGGTATGTGGAGGGGGGAAGGGGAACACTTCTACCAGGTCAGTACAAACTAGAGCACAAACAGGGTGGGCAGGGAGGGTCTGGAGAAGAGTCTGAAGACTTGGCCAGCCCAGATCCCAAGGACACTCGAGTAGCAGGATAAAGAGCTTTATTCTGTTGGGAATTCAGAACCAACATAGAGGTTTAAGTCAAAGGAAGAGGTGTGTATTGTAGAGAATGGGGTGACATGTCAAGAGCCATGTTTTGGAGAGAGCCTGCTAGAGGGCAGTTTGGAAGATAGACTACAGGGCATCCAGTGATGAGGCCAATGTGACAGTCTAGATGAGAGATGATAAGGCCTGAACTTGGGTGGTGGGAATAGACATGATCTACTGGGGGAGAAAGACAGTGACAACATACTGACAAGTGCTGTGACAGAGGAGAGTTTAGCCATTTCTGACCAATAGGGTTTTTTAAAAATTATTATTGAACAATGTGTCAATTTCCGGTGTACAGCAACAAATGGGGTTTTAATAATACCAGCTTAAAAGTCAAGAAACTTCCATCCACAGAGACCCTTAAAAATCATCCTGTGCAAACTCTTCATTTTATAGATGAGAAGACTGAGGCCCAGAGAGAGAAAAGACTTGTACAAGGCCACTCAGTGTGTGAGCAGAAGCGCTGTGATTAGACAGGTCGCTCTAGTATTAATGCCAGTGTTTATAGCATCATTCCTTAAATGTGCTATTTT